TGAGGGAACCCTGAGCAACCAAGAATACCCCGGCAGGTTAAAGATGTGAGGCCCTGGCTATAGCCCACAGAGGCTTTCTTGCGAATGGAAAGAATCCGTGGAAGACCTATGATTGATAAGAGCGCTTCGACACGCTAGGAGGAAAAGTGCAGGGCCCTCCGAGCAACCGCAAAAAAATCAAGAACAACATGGAAGGCTCCTGCACGATCGAAATGACCCTGCAAGTAGGCATATAGGCCCCCGGAAACAGCACTGAAAGCTCCTTCGTGATCGAAATGATCTTGCAAGTAGGCATATAGGCGCCCGGAAACAGCAAGTAGATTGTAGATGAAATGGGGCCCTAAGCTTGCATTAAGATGGCTAATCGATGTTCGTCTTAAAATGTGTAAGATTCAGACAAAATTTATGACAGATAAAAAACCATAAAATATTGTTTTGAACACACGGGCTCACAGGCCATGGCAACAGCTGCCTGAACGCCCAGTGTTGCAGTCTCCATAGGTCGCGTGGCCTCGGCCTGCGGCTGTGACACTAAACGATAGCCAATAAGCAGAAGAAGATGACGCATCTTGAGGAACATGGCTGGTGGACTGGGTAAATCGGCATGTATATCTAAATGTTGTGCAAAATAAGCTAAACACAACCTTGATCTGGAAAGTGGGGGCGAGGGCCAATTAACAATGCTAGCCTCTCCACCTTGAAAAGAGGGGGGAAGGACGTGACCCCCCTGCCCTCACCCCTGTTCCTACGCCCATGCTTGCAATTAGAACAGAAACAGAAACCAGAAGCTACCACGAAATTTATTTTATTTGCGTTTTGAAGTCAATAACCCGCAGAAATCAGGCGTTGAGCGACTGCATGAAATAAATCTACGGCGCTCTTAATTTACGCCGATTCAGTGGTCTATTCTTTAACCGATGAAGTCCAGAAGCTTTGTCAGATCTTTTACATGAGTTTTACAGCCACATTAAGGATCCCGCGGATGTAGATTGAAAATCGAGATGTGAAAAAAAATGTGCAATAATAAGGCAAAGCCGTGTTTGCATGGAAATTTCAACATGCAGTCATGATCGATTAGCGGTGCAAGTTATGTAACTTGCTATTTAACATGCGCGCTCGCAAATCTTCGCAACAAAAACCTCGACTCCAGGCATTGCAGTCTCCGTGGGCCATGCGACGTCGGCTCCAGCAGCCAATACTGAGCCGTGGCCAACCTGTGGACAACAATGATGACGCTCCTGAGGAAAACATTTTTGTACGCTTTAAAGTATCAAATATTACATTAAGAAGGTAGTCTGGGCGTGTATTTCACATACACGATTTTTAGACTGATGATAAGATAGGATTGACCCCTACGGCACGGCGATGTGAGCTGGAATCTGGTGGTGAAAATGGAAGGGTAATGGTAAAATCATTATTTTTGGTGCTTCTGTAACTGCTATTCGGTCAGATTTACCATGGCGCCCGCCTCCTGGAGTCAGTTGCAGTGGCCAACGCCTTTCGGTTTTGATGTAGTTTGTTTCACTAATCGATTCTGCAAAATCATAAATGTATTCCGGCAAACTTGGAGTGTCTTTTTTCGTTTTGAACTCATTTAGACCCTCTCTATTCAAAAATAGGGAGACTCCTTCTTTTCTTCCATGCAACGGGCCCCTTGAGAAGAACACTTGGGACACATTACTGCTCCCCTCAACGGCTGAAGGGTCATTCCGTCCCATCGCGGTGTGTCCGCCGGCTGCCATTCAGGCAACACGGGGCGGGATCCCCTGGTCGATTCGGAGGGATGCATCACATCAGTTTGTTCTCCTGCCTGACACAGGAGGCCTTCTGATCCGCGCACGTGGCCCCGGATCAACGCAGGAGTTGTTATTGACGCAAAGTTTCTCTGATCGCCGCAGGTGGTCAATAATCTTCACATAGACTTCAGTTTCCTGTTCTTCAGAGATATTGACCACCCCTGAACGTGGACTGTAAGTCGAAATGGGGCCCCAAATTGGTAATGACCCGGGTAGCTCATGTTTGTCTTAAAATGTTTTACATTCAGTCGGGATGAAGTACAGAAAAATAATTATGAACATGGGTGCTCACAAATCTTAGCAACATCCTCGACACCCGGCGTTGCAGTCTCCATAGACGGCACGGCGTCGGCCTTGCTGCTGTGACACTATGCGATGGCTAATGGGTAAACGAAAATGACGACGCATCTTCAGTAAAATGACTGTTGAGCTAGGTAAATCGGCATGCATGTTTGTAGTGGTACAAAAGTAAGCTAAACACAATCTAAACTTGAAAAGTGGGGAAGGGCAGTTAGCATTGCTGGCCCCCATCTTGAAAAGTAGGGGGGAATTAGCCCCCTATCTCCCCCCTCCCGTTCCACCACCCATGCGTGCAATCTGCTCATCTCGCCCAGCATCGTTGCTTTTTGATCCCCGAGCTCCCTTTAAGAACTCTTACGACTAAGCTGCCTTTCCACCGCGCACCCGCAGTGGCGTATGTTGTTTGCGTTGGGTATTTCGTGGACCTAGCAGCCCAGCAGAAAAGTTTCTGGCATTTGGGACATTTGCAGGAGATTTCCTTCACGAGCAGTGGTTTGGACCTACAGCAAGCTATACGCTTACCTACACCTGCTCGCACAATCATGGTACCAGGTACATGGATCCAAGTTTGAAAACTCGCATCCGCCCCGCAAGGAAAGTTTTCCCCAAAAGCCTGCAACGTCCACCAAATTTGTCATGCCATGCATGCGTACTTACCCTTAAATACTTCTTGGTGGTAAAATAAGAAGCTGTAAGGAGCCTACAAACATATTCGTTCCCTCACCTGTGCTTTTTTCACAGCTAACATTAAGAGACTCCATTGCTCATTCCTTATGCACGTGTCTAATTTCATCACAATACAAAGGCACCACAAGAAGCCATGCATCTAAAAACAAACGTTCCTTCACCTGTTTTATAAGCTAACACTGCGTGCAGTTGTTTATCTTATTGATTTCAAAATTTGAAACTATTGCTAAAATTGAAGAGGCTGCCGAAAAACTAACACATGCAATCCAGTTGACCTCAGGCATAAAATCCTCTCCCTCACGGACAAAATCCTGTCAGCCCTTTAGAAGACTCCTCAAAAGGAACCAGCTATCCATGCATCGAGAGAAAGTAAATCAAACAGCTACAACCAATATAAGAGTGCAAAAACCAAAAGTGACCTTGCGTTAGCGACATTCGCGACAGAACATGACTTGCTCTATGATGGAGAGCGGCGGAACCTGGTCCTTATTGCTTCCCCACGCCGATTGTGTTGCAGGGAGTACCAATGCCTTTAGCGGGAGGGGGCGGGGGAGGTGAGTAATTTGTTTGTTAATTTCTGACACTTGACCCCGGCCGCGATTGACACGTCTCTTTCAGAAATCATGAAGAATGACGTCGTACTGGATTTGTTCAGACCAAGGGCGTCAGCGCGTCGGACATAATCATTTCGAATCCATAATCGATATTTGATTATAAGCAACACACGCCACGCAGACAAAACACAATGGTCGAACAATACACATCGCTCAGTAATGCTCATTACAAATGCGCTTGTCATTTTCTATGCCAACGCCGAACTGGCCAGGCAACGTCAGAACGATCACGTCAGACGATCAGACGTCAGAACTGACCACGTCAGACGATCAGACGTCAGAACGATCACGTCAGACGATCAGACGTCAGAACTGACCACGTCAGACGACCAGACTTCAGAACTGACCACGTCAGATGACCAGCGTCAGAACTGACCACGTCAGATCACCAGCGTCAGAACTGACCACGTCAGACGACCAGACTTCAGAACTGACCACGTCAGATCACCAGACGTCAGAACTGACCACGTCAGATCACCAGACGTCAGAACTGACCACGTCAGATCACCAGACGTCAGAACTGACCACGTCAGATCACCAGACGTCAGAACTGACCACGTCAGACGACCAGACTTCAGAACTGACCACGTCAGATCACCAGCGTCAGAACTGACCACGTCAGATCACCAGCGTCAGAACTGACCATGTCAGACGACCAGACTTCAGAACTGACCATGTCAGAGCTGACCACGTCAGATCACCAGACGTCAGAACTGACCACGTCAGATCACCAGACGTCAGAACTGACCACGTCAGATCACCAGACGTCAGAACTGACCGCGTCAGACGACCAGACTTCAGAACTGACCACGTCAGATCACCAGACGTCAGAACTGACCGCGTCAGACGACCAGACTTCAGAACTGACCACGTCAGATCACCAGACGTCAGAACTGACCACGTCAGATCACCAGCGTCAGAACTGACCACGTCAGATCACCAGACGTCAGAACTGACCGCGTCAGATCACCAGACGTCAGAACTGACCACGTCAGATCACCAGACGTCAGGACTGACTAAGTCAGAGCTGACCAAGTCAGAACTGACTGAGCTGGTTGGTGACCGGCTTTATAGCCCATTTCATAAAGCTCCATCAGCAGCCCTTTTGGTCGAAGGACACTTGCCACACCTTTCCTTTTGCGCAGCATATTTGAGCATGGCTGATAGGATTATATCAACGTTTATTATGCGCTTAAACGATCGTCTGTCGAGGAAGAATCTGACTACCCATTTCAAGTCAACGTGACCTTTTCGTTCCGTGAGAGCTTAAAATAGTATGAAATCCATGGTCAAATGATACATTGAAACGACCCGATACTATCAACGAAAATTGGTCTCGTTTATCTTGCATAGACTATAGCACGAGACGTTTGCAAGCTTTTGAAAAATAGCGTGGCCTGGCATGTGCGAACAAGAGACCATGCAGCATGGCTCGTTGGCACTGACAGGAGTCGCATTCCCATATATGTGTGGGGGGGAAATTGATCTTACGCGGCATTCTCAAAATTTATTTCAACTGCTGGAAGTACAGACCAGTTTGTTATGACGAACACTGACTGGGCAGAGTGTAGAGAAAGCAAGAATACACAGGAGTTGGCACGCTTAAGACAGATTAGGTATGTGCCCATAGGATGTCACGTGATACATTATGAACAGGTCACCAACAGTGGTGTGCTAAGGTGGCGTTCCCACCAGTTCAAATACATTTTTTATTCACTTCTCTTGTTCAGTACGTCTTAAGTTTTCCCGAATGCATTGTGATCCTGAGGAGGATATTGGAGATCACAGCTTCAACATCGAATACACACCCAGGAGACCTTTCCGGATTTGGCTCACTTTCCCCCCGAAGTGTGTGGCGGGGGGGGGGGGGGAGGGGTGCGGACCTCCACTGGACAGGAGCTCATACACCTGCCCGCCACCCTGGCTGCGGCTGATTTCTTAACCGGCATAGCGGTGGCTCATGAGAGCTGATGGCTGATGCTGTGAGTTCACGCGCTGCAGCAGCTACTGCAGGTCCTCGGCCCAGCGGTAGCCGGCCTCGTAGCTCCAGCTGCGGTCGTACCTGACCAGTCGTACGTCCATGCCGGCGCTGTCGCAGCAGCTGCGCGGACCGTGAAAGTTGATGGTGATCGGGGACGGGTCAGTTGCGTCCAGGAACGCATTCGGTCTATTGGCTCTGTACACGCGGATCCGGCCGGGCTCGAAGCGGATTCGGAACTTGCGCAGCTCACTCCGGCTGACAATACCTGACATTTTTTTGGAGGCCAGAGTCGCCCAGCCGACGCCGGGAGTGTGGCGCTGCACCCTGCTGTACTGGTTGCCCCAGCCTCCGATGACGATGCTGTACATGTGTGAGTGGTCCCAGATGACGGTGTCGCTGGCGAGCCAGTTGCAGTCGTTGGAGGCGCGGCAGTCGAACGTCACCGAGAAGGTCTGCTCCGTCGCGCGGCGGAACAACGTGGAATACCTGACGGCGACGGAGGTAAGGTTATGAAATGGCGCGACCTATTTCAAGGTTCAGAAGCCCTGTCTGTCGTTGCTTTGGTCGCAGAAGCACTCGCTGCAGACATCAAAGCGATTCCAGACGCACCAAAGCTCAGATTCACCAACCCTCTGGTTCCAAATGATCCTTTGCAGGTCTAGGCATGGACGCGTTAGATCTTGATTTGGGCCGAGTCGTTTGGATGAAGATGCTGCGCAGTGCTGCTCCTAGCATGTAAATCTCGCGAAATTCGAAGCTGGTTGCCCGCTCTGATGAAGCATGAGTGTCCATTTATGTTTTCAATTCATATTTACGATGTACGCTGTAATTTTTCGCGCGAGTAAGCTCGCCGATGGCACTACATCACAAATTTCTGAAATCGCTTGCGCGGTATTGCCCGAAAGACAAGAAATCATTAGGTTCACCACATGGTTGGAACAACCCTTCGCACTGCGCCTTTTAGCAGTTTGTGGGTTAGCGTTCTGAGCAGCCTCACCTGGGTATGGTGTAGACGCGGTCATCGGACCAGTCTCCCATCCAGAGGTCCACCATGTCCTTTGTAAAGCGCCACCGTCCCTGCAGCACGGTGAAGATGCCGATGTAGCCGGGCGAGAAGCGCTCTGGGTCATCCCAGCTGATGTAGGTGTCGATTCCCGGCCTGTAGAAGCGTATCTGGCCGCTGCACCAGTGCAGGCCGTACCTGCGGTAGTTGTTGCCGTCCAGCAGATCACCTGAGTAGGAGGCGAAGGTGTCACTCCTGACACCCTCCTGAATCCTCTCGGCGTAGGTGGCGCTGTTGCCATTGTAGCCAATGCGAAAGTGGTAGCGGTTGGAGTAATGCGTGTTGGACTCGGTGAGCACAAACCGTAGATCGTCAGTGGCCTGCGCGTCGAATTCCATGGAACAGATCCCGTTGACCAGCTCCTTGAACACCCAGTGTTCGCCGTCGGTGGTGAGCTCGATGTTGGTCTTCTCGCAGAGTGTGGTGTTGTACTTCCAGCTTGCGGAGTCGCAGACACACTGGCTGGACGAGCACTGTGTGCCGCCAGTGACGTGGTACCGGCACTGGTTGTGCTCCCGACACGGCTCATCCAGCCTGCGCAGGCAGATGTCGTCCCGGCAGCGGCCACCGTCCGTGCAGATGCTGTCAGTCCACAGCTGGCTTTTGGACTCCTGGGACGGGTCGGAGACAACGTCGTACCAGATCCAGCCGCCAGTGCTGGTGATGTAGTAGCTGTGGTGGTCGCAGACGGTGACGGTGAAGATCTCGCAGACGGCGTCCACCCGGTGGTGGTTGAAGCTGCGGCAGTCGCCGCGCTGCAGGCAGACCAGCTGACACTGGGCGGCCGAAATGCCCGGGACCGTCTCGGCGACGGAGACGCCCGTCAGGCGGCGGTTCTGACCGCGGCGGGACGAGGCCCAGTGGCCGTGAGCCGGGCTCGCCAAGGCCAGGACGAGCGCCGCTAGCGATACGGAGCGCATGGTGTCAGCGTCCCCGCTGTCTGCCCAGAAATGGAGGAGCGATCGAAGTCCCGTCCACGCGCTTCGCTCGTTAATCTTTCAACAATAATCAATGTGGCTGCTTCCCCATGGCAGTGGCTGCCATGGGGAGGACGTGAATTGGCCCCGGTTTCCTCGGTATATGGTATGTTGTAGTCTGCTGTGGTCAGGCTCGGGCCTGTCAGCATGAAATAATTAATAATCGTGGCAATGTTCCGCCATGTTTTGCTGAGTTTTGCCTCCACGGCTGACGCGAGTGATGCGCATGAGCAGGGTGCAACGGGAGCGTACGCACGATCAGCGCCTGCGGCCGTCGGATGGCGCATCTCCCGCTGGGCTGTTGACAGCAGCAGCGGCGCCGCTCGCTGCTGGCCCGGCCGCGGACGCGTGTCGCCTACCTCCGGTGGCGGGCGCCGAGCCGTGACCCTGGGCCACGCCGGGCGGCGTCGTCTGCCTGCAGCGGCGGGCGCCGAGCCGTGACCTCGGGCCGCACCGGCCGCAGCACACTGCGCCGACCCGGCCGGCCCCGGTTGTAGGCCGGGGGGTCGCGGGAAAATGCGACCCGCGATTCCCTGCGGGCCGCTGTCGTTCTAGCACGATGCCGTTGGCATCGAAAGGGTCAGAATTCCTGCGAAGTGGGTATCAGTGTTTGCTGGAATGCTCAATGAAAGTTTAACACGTTATTCAGATGCAAGTTTGGTGCGGGTCACTTGGGACCGGAGCTGCATATAGGTGACCTCACGCAACCAAAGCTCAAGACAGGGGGCTGCGTTGTGGCGCTTCCAACCCCACGCTTGAACATCACAAACATTGAACATTATACACCTTATTGCACATACGTATGCATACTCGATGCCGGGCCGCAGATGAAGAGGTTATGCCGTGTGGTCATTCGCCGAGTTTGCCCCGTTTCGAGGCTAACTTGGCGGACACCTCCGGGTTAGAAGAGTTTGACGCTTATCGATGGCGTTCCCCATCGCTTGTGTTTCAGTGTGCGGTAGACCAAGCTGAGCTTGTGCAATAATATTGACGAGCTGAGCTCGCCCTCTTCCCCATGTCTGGGGCGGAGCGCACTGCCACTGCGGCATTCAGACGTGCCTCGTGTTGTCTCGAGGGGCTGTCGAAGCAGGCACCGGGGCCGGCTGGGTCTGCATTTAGACAAGCTGCACCTTGTGAATAAGATTTGACGGAATAAGTAGTGCGTAGTGAATTTCACGGACACGAGTTTCATTTTTTGGCAACATTCCAGCACGAAATTCGAACTTAAGCCTCCCAGCCAACGAAACTAATAGAAACCGTACCCTGTCCATGGTGTCACAGCTTCACGCCCAGCTCAGGTCAACCTCGGATTACATGGGACGGGACGGCAAGGCCTGTTTACCGTTCTACGCTTGCGGGCTAAAAATGTAACAGCTGTAGATGGTGGCACGTTTTCATCAGCAATAATCTCGTTATGCATATATCCTAAATATATTAAGGCTTTTTGTGCCAGCAGACATGCAATATGATGTGTGGCAAAATATCATTTTGGACATAGTTATTATTGGAATAAGGTAACCTAGGCAGCCTTAGTCCGTCGTGCAGGCAAGGGGAGACAAAGCAGTATGTGCCCTCCCCCTTTGTTAGGTCCCGAGGGGCTCGGAGGGCCCCTGAGAACTGGCGATAAAGGCCCCGATTTTAGGGTCAGAGGGGATGACCGGAAGTCGCAGAGGCCCCAGCCTGTAGGACTGGGTCCTCATGCAAGCCAGAGGACCTTGCCTTGTCGGACATTTAAAATACCACGCAAGATGTTGCTTGTCTGTGTTGGAAGTTTTGTCCTTGTTCTTCCCAATGGAACGACGATAGGCCTGTTTTGCTGCGATTTTCCACCGATCGGCAAAACCGTGCTGCCAGTCCTAGATCATGAAGATGATGCCAGTTGATAATATTACTGATGCGTCATGATGAAGACAAATAAAACGCGGTGTCTCATATCTTATCAGGTTTGCATAAGCCATCGAGCTTGTGACCCCCCTCCAGTCACGCCATAGATGTGTGAGGCGCCGCCGAGGAACGGCGTGACCTGGACTGGGCGTGGGTAGTCACTGCAATGGAACCTTGATTTGACGTTTTCACATTCGTAGGAGAAAACATTGTTCTTGGAATTACTCCCGGCCAAGACATATCAGATCGCGATCAGATCAGATCAGATCAGATCAAATCAGATCAGATCAAGACATGTCAGAATCTGCAGAAGGCTGTGCAGGCGGTCTCTTAAACTTAGGCAGTTGTAGCTCCGGCAAAATTTTCCCAAGCCTGCGTACAGAGACATGTTGTCACCACATACTCAAACTTGTATTTGGATTCCTGATTACCGTGGTCGGGTGGTAACTGTCGCCTGTCTCCGGCCCATTCGGCCCTAGTTTTTCAGCTAAAACCTGTGGGACGAGTACTCGAGTAATTGGTGTGACGTATGTACATAGATGGGTATGTGTGTGTATATATGGATATGTAGACACGACATCCAGTTGTATGGCCCGGTCAGGTCCATTTTCAAGCACCGGCCATGATTTTACGAATGCATTTTACCGATCAGACCCGCTGGCGACTTCTTGCCAGCGCGTAGTCCGCAATCCACCCGCAGTGTGGTAGGCAGTAGTTTTATAATGTTTGCACCCCACCTGTGGTGCATTTTCAGGCGGGAACGCTTAAACCATTCGGCATTTCAATGTAAACATCTTACACAACGGCGAGTTTTGTTGGTCAGAGATAAGCTATGATTTTTTTTTGAAAAGTTTTCTTTTTCTCCATTATATTCGGGAGTGGTCATTGTATTTAGTCGCAAGATCGATCCAAACATTGTCGAGAATTTTTTTAGTTACACTTATCGTATTTCTCCTTTCTTTTGTGTTCAGTCGGAGCGGTTTGTACACAAGCGACAGGAACGAAACGCCTCGGCAAGTTTCGAACATTGCCATCAATACTGATTTCGCTGGATACGACGCAGCTCCGGCGATTGTGGCAGATTATGGTGGAAGACCTCACGCAGCACGAACCGGCGAAGTTCGCCCACCTCACATTGCATTGCATTGCAGCTTTGTCACATTGTCTTGTGTTGCTGTCTGGCTTTGGCTGTAGAATCGGCAGCCATGCACGCAACCAGTGAGAACTTGGCTTTATCTGTCATGAACTTGGCTTTATCTGCGAGCACCCTGATTGGTGCCGTAGTCCCCAGTCCCTGCTATTACACGAAGCGCATGCGTTAGACGGACTGCTCAGTCATGAACTCTTGGCAACAGAGTGACGTCTTCAGAGCGTTGATAAGGTCCTCAACACACTTCCCCTGGAGTGCAGCGCCTACGCCTGTCTGATTCAGGGCTCGCTCAGTCGTGGTTAGAGTCCTTTCGGTCAGCAATGACCATTTGAAAGCTATGGAAAGGGGACTGGCCGAGTGTTGGACAAGACCGCATGCATCTGAGAGTCAGATTTATGCCATCTGCTACTGAGACTTACTCCGTGCGGGTACCTTGTTTGGGACAGTAAGCGCACCATCAGGCGTGTTTCCCGCCAAAGTGGACAGTAAGCGGATGATCAGGCGTATTTCCCGCCAAGGTGGACAGAAAGCGGACGATCAGGCGTGCTTCCCGCCAAGGTGGACAGTGGGCGCATGATCGGGCGTGTTTCCCGCCAAGGTGGACAATAAGTGAATGATCAGACGTGTTTCCCGCCAAGGTGGGCAGTGGGCGGATGATCAGACGTGTTCCCCGCCAAGGTGGACAGTGGGCGGATGATCGGGCGTGTTTCTCGCCAAGGTGGACAGTGGGCGGATGATCGGGCGTGTTTCCCTCCAAGGTGGACAGTGAGCGGGTGATCGGCAGGCAGGGAATGCTGGGAACGCATATACACCTGCATTCCCGGTGCCCCCCCCCCCCCCTCTTTCCCTCGAGCAGATGTCCGGGCTCGGGCGGCCTCTCCAGCTGCAGCGAGGGAGGACTCCGGCCCCACCTGACGCACCCAGTCGTCCCCGCCAGATGGCGGCATCGTGGAGACGGTCTGGCCCTCATTGGTTGTTGGACACGTCGCTAGATGGCAGGTTA